GTGGGGATTTAACAAAGTGGAGTGGACACGGTGCTCAACAAAAGATTGTCAAATAGACTAAGAGGACATGTCAAGGCCAGAACTGACAAATGCCACACTGCCACTAATTAGACCAAGGAATATCATTGGAAGCGTGGTCAGACTTAATAAGTAGGAAACGAGTAATGCCAGGATAGCAAAAGCTTCTCGGATGAAGTCATAGATGATAATCCTATTTACGTGCAACAATTTTTAAGCGTAGTAGTAGGTAGCGTACATGTAGTAACATGTACAGGGATTACATGCATCAATACTGCATTATGATGTCACGAGAAAGATGCGATTACACAAATCTATACAATACCAGTTTTATCTGTCAAGTTTAATAAATCCACTCCCTCCACTACTGATGCTCAGTAGCAGCAGTGTACTATCTACAAGATGCACTACAGAAATTCAAAGATCCCCAGACAGCACCTTCCAAACCCATGATCACTTCCATCTAGAAGGACAAGGGCAGCAGATATTGGGAATGCCACCAACTTCAAGTTTCCCTCCAAGCCACTCATCACCCCGACTTGGAAACATATCACTGTTCCTTCACTGTCACTGGAGCAAACTCCTAGAAATTCCTCCCTAATGGCATCGTGGGTCAGCCCACAGCAGGTGGACTACAGCGGTTCAAGAAGGCAGCTCACCACTGCCTTCTCAAGAGCAACTAGAGATGGGCAATAAATACTGGCCAGCCAGTAACACCTGCATCCTACAAATGAATAATTAAAAAAAGACAAACCTTGGTTATCATAATAAATTCCAACATCGCCTGGAGTGCTATACATAATTTCATCCAGTTCAGCGGCTAAGGCTTCCCTGCGGTTAACTGGCATTGTTAAACATTTTTCTTCCACTTCCTCCAAAGCCTGTACAGAAAACACTTGGATAACAAAAGAAAAACACAGGCCAACTGATAGGTACAGATCATCATTTTAATACAATGGCTTTTCAATTAAATTAACGGATAACAGCAATTTATCACCTCCAAAAAGATTTAACAACGAATAATATACAAAGCATAGTTTTAATCATTTTGATATAAAGGAAAAAGCTGCTGTTAGAGTCCTAGAGTATATGTTGACTATTGAGATTAAGTAGACAATTGTTCTTTCAGAAAAAAATGCTCAAGCCATTCTCCTTCCTCTGTAAAGTCACAGCTCAGTATTTACTAAAAAAAGCTCAAAATTGCAAAACAGAATAGATGGATACCAGCAATAGGGAGAAAACTGCATTCAAACCTGCTGAGTTTGTGAAAGAGGCTATCTGGAACTTAGCAAAAACAGAACTTGGCACACACAGCAACTTGGTTTTACAAAGTGCTATTTGGGACTCATCTAGGACAAGACCCTATCCCTTTTCAAAACCTGTATAAATTTTAAAAATAATACGTGTTGAAATCATTACAAATTTGCCACTGTAAACATGGTCATTAAACAGAGATCTAACAATCTAATTAACATAAATTGTAGTTTTACCTCTTTTGATACAAGATTCTTCAAGGCATCAAAATTGCACTCTGAAAGCATCTTTGACACTTGTGAAAAGGCCTACGGAAGAAATCAATGAACATTATGAAGCTTTACTTTCATACAATTATATATCTGCATACTAAACAATGCCCACGGCACAACTGTGGCAAAGCACAAAATGAATAATTAATGAATAGATATTTAGTCATGTTAATTGCATTATAAGCAACACCACCACAATGCAGGAGCTCTTTTAAGCATGATATTAGACAGAGTAGTCTCAAATACATTTTTTAAAAGGTGCTGAGCACTCACCCAGACTACCTGTAATGTTTGCAGCCTGAGTAAGTGTTTGGGCCTTCTTCCACCATTTGAAGGAGGTGTGGCTCAATATGTGACTGCGCTTCAGTGGTGATCTCTGACCAACTGCAACTGCTGGAGGAGCAAAGTCAGAGGATCTGACAAATCTGCACAGAGTGAGTATTGACAAGTCTAGGCAGTGCATTGTTAATGGATTGTGCAGTAGGCCACAGAAAAGAAACAGGTACTCAATGTCAATGCCTGAATCTCCCTAGAGAGCAAACATGCATTATTTGCCAGGACACTCAAGGCTTTCCTCTACAATAGGGGGAACTGGAGTGTTTCATTGACACAGGAAATACCAGTTGGATTTGATTAGGTTCCTCATTGTAACATACTTTTAAGTTCATTACTTATACTCCTTCTTAAAACGTGGAAACTTTTGGTCATCAAATTTCTGATAGAACGCAACTGGCACTTTAAAAGAGCAGAACTGAAATTACTACAATTTTTGACAGAGTGGGGCTGAAACAGATTTCAGAAGTCTTCGTTTTCAGTAAACATTTCTTTTTAATCAAACTTGGTAAACACTAACTATGGACAGGATACAATTTCACCTGTATCATGATGCTGCTGCAGAACCATCTTAGAAGCCATGGGATCTTGCTTCACTTTGCACAATGATGTAGATTTATTGATACATTCACATCAACACTACATTTTCCCCACTCCAAGTTTATTACATTACCACACATCATGTAACTATATCTCCAGATACAAAAACTACTGGGCTCCTGGACAACATTCAGCAAACTCTATAAAACAAATTCATTCATCTCATTATGCAACTGGAACCTTAATATGTGCAAATTGGCTGAAACATCAACTAAACTAAATTAGCCACCAGAATGTCAAAGTACCCTGTGGGCTCTTTTGGCATAGTGGTACTGTCTCTGCCTCGGGTTCAGAGTTCAAATCCTACTTGTACTGGAAATGCATCATAACAGGTGATGAAAAAACTCAAAGTACCTTACTGATTTGTGAAGCAATTTAACATCATGTGGTCATGAGATTAATAGCAAGACATATCATTCAAATGCATGAAACTTCGAAAAGTTGGCGAAGAGACTTGGGCATTTTCATACAAAGGAACACAGTTTACAGATGAATACAGTAAGCAATCAGGAAGACAAAAGGCATGCTGGCCATTAGTGAAGGGGATAGTGTGCTCAGGTCATGTTCCCATTTCTTATGTTCTTATGAAAGACTGGTTGCTGTGATTATAAATTGGGTAACTGATGGTTAGAGACACATCTGGGAAGTTGACCACTTGTGTTCTGTTGGTTAGAGAAGTATGCCCATGGCCACTGAGGGGCATCTTAAAAAAAAAAAAATTCTGAAAAAAAAGTGGAAGAAAAGTTAAAGCATTACGGTGGAGAGATTGAACAGTGATTTACATAAAAACTCAGTCTAGAAGTAACATTAATTATTGTAAACTGCATTCATTTGGTGTGAGAGTGGGAATTGACTCAAGCTCAGGGACATTTATGGATTTGAGTGGGATGAGAATAGGTTGGTTGGTAGAATAAATGACAACAATATGTAACTTTAATGTAAAACCATTTCCTCCTGAATTTTTTTTTGGATGCCCTAATTTAACAAATTAAATAGAAAAATGTTTGAGTGAAATGATGGGTAACATACTTAATTGTGCCCACTACTCCCATCTCCAATGGCTTCCTATCTTCCAAATGTTAAATTCAAAATCTTTGCAACCATTTATAGAATCACTCTCCATGGCCTTATATCTATCACCTCCACCAACACAGTAATGCTCTCCTAAAAGTTTTATTCCTTATTCTATCTTTTCATACATTCTCCCCATCCACGCCTTTGACTGACCATTAACTAGTTTCTTCAGTCACATGTTGCCAGTCTTCAATATTCCTTATCTACCGAGTTCATCTACAAGACATAACGTCAATGCATTATGAAACAAGTTGGACGTTCACTTGCAATCTGTATATATTGAAATGCGATTTCCATACATTGCCCCAACCCAGAGAAAAGAGTCATGTCAGCATTCATTCCAAACAATAACACTGCAAGGAAACAACTTCACATTTCCTTCTGATAAAGGCAACTTATCCATGACCCCCAACGCAAAACACTTGGGCATCATCCTGAACAGAACTTTTGCTTATCAGCCTCATCTCATCCAATCGAATTTCTAAACTAGATAAACCCCCTGTAACATGATGCTTCTCTTTCCATGCACCAAGAATAGAAAAACCCACCAGAAATCCCTTCAAACTATGACAGATGTCCTTCAAGACAACAGCCGATACTCATGCAGCTGGGATCAATCAATTATCCACATGGATGGACTCATGGAACACATTCAGCATAAATAATCAATGCCTCATCACTGACCTGGAAGAGATTCCCGACTCTACAAAAGGCTTTGGACAACTGTTTAAGACTTGATATAAATACAGCTGAGTAGTTTGTGGTTTGTTGTTTGTTTCCTTCCAGCCCGTAATTTTAAGGTAACTATTTAGCTTTCATTTTATACCTGCATGAATGAGTTCTGCATGTTGACTGCTTTGCACATTATTGCTACATTCTAGGCAATGCTTTCAATGTGATTATATTGCTCCTTACATTGAAAGGAGCAAACCTAAAAAACAGAACAATCATCACATTATAGACTTTCTTGGCATATTATAAAATACAGACATTTCAGTCCAAAGCCCAGACAAGTAAAGAATCTGGAGCTGGAGGTGGTCAGGAGTGTTGAATTGATGCTATGGGTCTGAAAATTTGTAAAAGTTAAAACGTTGTTCGAGATGTATAAATATGAACTGACATAGGACAGTTGGTTTAACCTTAGTAGCAGAAAAGCACTTAGAAACGATAACCTGGACACAATGTAATCACTTGATGTTTTAACCGAGATTAGATAGCACTAATTTGTTCAGGGCAAATTGTGCTTAACCAGCTCGACATTTTGGTGTTAACAGATTTGTTAAGGAATAGGTGTACGGAAACCAATTTCAAAACTCGCAGATGATACAAAAACTTCAAAGTACTGTGAACTGAGGAACTTGGTGATAAATTTCAAAAGCAGAGACAAGTTATTGAAAAGGGTGGATATGTTGCAAATGAAATGCAATGCAGAGATGTGTGAAGTGGCAGTTTAGGAGGAAGGAGAGGTAAACATAAAAAGGACTGAATCCTAAAGGGGTTTACGGAAAGATCTTCGAGTTTTGGTGTGTAGTCTTTGGGTGAATTGTTTTAGGATTAAGAGGAGGAGTAATTCAATCATTTAAAGAGTGGTGATGCTTTGGAATTTTGTACCACAGAGGGTTGTAAACATTATGTCACCTACTTTAATTTACAGCTCATTTAGACAGATTTTTGGGGTGTCTGAGAATCAACAAACATGGAAAGTCGGCAGGAAAGTGAAGTCAATGCCCAAGTACAGCCACGATGGTGTGAGCAAGCTCAATGGTCCAAATGGTCTACCTCGGCTCCTACCTCACATTCTTGTAAATCTTTCATCTTGGTGAGGCAAGTTGAGAAGATGTGTTTTAATGGATACAAGGCATCCTAAAATAAGAGGCATATCAAGGTGCAAAAGTACAATTGTAATGCTGAGTCTTTACAAAATATTAACTTAGCCTTAACTGGAGTAGTGTGTTCAGTTTCAGGCACCACGTTCTAAGAAAGTGAAAGCTTTGGAGGGTGCAAAGAAGATTTAGAAGAACTGTTCTAGGGATGAGTTACGTGGGGTAGGTTGGAGGAAAGAACATTGAGGAGAAAATACATATTTAAGGAAAACAGCAAAAGATCCAATGGCAACACGAGGAGGAAAATTGTTTTATGCAGCAAGTAGTTAGGATCTGGAAGCAGATTCAACCAGGGCTCTCAGACGGGCAACCGACAATTAATTATGTGTACAGAAGAAATTGCAGAGTTGCAGGGAAAAGATGGGGGCTCACACAAAGATAACAAGGTGCAAAGCTGGATGAACACAGCAGACCAAGCAGCATCAGAGGAGCAGGAAAGCTGACGTTTCGAGTCTAGACCCTTCTTCAGAAATGGGGGAGGGGAAGGGGATTCTGAAATAAATAGGGAGAAAGGGGGAGGCAGATAGAAGATGGATAAAGGAGAAGATAGGTGGAGAGGAGACAGACAGGTCAAGAAGGCGGGGTTGGAGCCAGTAAAGGGGAGTGTAGGTGGGGAGTTAGGGAGGGGATAGGTCGGTCCAGGGAGGACAGACAGGTCAAGGAGGCGGATGAGGCTAGTAGGTAGGAGATAGGGATGGGGCTTGAGGTGGGAGGAGTGGATAGGTGGGAGGACAGGTTAGGGAGGCGGGTACGAGCTGGGCTGGTTTTGGGATGCGGTCGGGGGGAAGCGAGATTTTGAAGCTTTCCTGCTCCCCTAATGCTGCTTGGCCGGCTGTGTTCATCCAGCTCTACAACTTGTTATCACAGATTCTCCAGCATCTGCAGTTCCTACTATCTCTGAAACAATTTTAACCCCCCACCCCCGGCTCACACAAAGCACTGACACGTACGTGATGGTCCGAAGAGCCTGTGTGTGCGTGTGCTGTAAACACGAATGATCCTAACAGGGACCATTTGTCCCCGGTGAAGCCGACACCAGACAGCCAGCACAGACTGGAGGGGCCGAACGGCCGACTTCCCTGATCTCACGGTTGTTTCAAATGAACCGGGTTCCTCCTCCCGCTCGGTCACTCACCTGCCTAGCACCGGCGGAAAACTCCTCGAACGTGAAGTCCTGATCGAAATAAGCTCTGATCAGGAAGAAGTACATCTTGGTGCGGGCCCAGATGAACGGGTTGGGGATCCCGACCACCACCACCTTCCTGGGCCGTGCCTGGCGCCCTGGTCCCGGCTCAGTGCCGTAGCGCCGCGCCCAGAGAACCGGCCGGGGAGGAGCCAGGCACCGAGGGACGGGTCGAAAGCCGGGGACGGGCTGCCTGTGAGGCCAGGACAGGCCGAGCAGAGCAAAGCGGCAATGCCTCACCACCAGCGCCATCTTCACCGGGCCTCAGGACCACGCCTTCCTCCTCCCATTGGCTGGGGGCCCGGCCCCACACACTCATCCGTCCGGGCAGCAAACGGGCCGCGACAAAAAGATACCGCCTGCAGCTCAAGGGACCCCTCCGAGTCCCTGCTATTCATTACCACTCTGTTTTATTTCAAAAATATACTTTATTCATAAAAAAATGTCTTTGTATATATACGTTGTCATAAATACAGTTCGGTTCTGCCCAGTTGCATATCAAGTAAATAAACAAAACATTGGACTTTGACTCAATCCAAAAATCCAAAGACCTCTCGTACAAATAAGATACGAATATTTATATATATTTGAGGCACTGGGAGGGTCCAGTAGCTAAACAGACCCCATTTACCTTCAACAGGAAGACTTCAGACGGTGGTCTTTCCCCACTATGACTTGGCAGCAGCATGCCCCAAGCTTTACTGCAATCCTCAGCACATAGTCCTAGACCTTGGAACGTGCCAGTCTGCAATACTCGGTCGGGGTCAACTACGTGTTCTGGAAGACTAACGAGGTTCAAGCAGACCAAAGAGCATCTTTCACCCGAGTTGTCGGTCCTCCAGACGCAAATGATGTTTGGCTCAGCGTACGTCCCGGGGTACAGACCATAGAGCACGGAGTCCCACCTGATGGAGCAGCTTGGGACAAACCTCAACAAAAACCACTGCATCTTCCTCCAGATTTTTTTTGCAAAGGCACATTCCAGAAGGTGATGTGTGACAGTTTCAGCTCCCCTGCAGCCACTTCAAGGGCAGTGTGGGGTCGCGCAGACTGACAGGGCGTACATAAAGGATCTCGCAGGTTGTGCCCTTCTCACCACTAGCCAAGCGATGTCTTGGTGCTTGTTTGAAAGTTCTGGTGATGAGGGATTCTGCCAAATGACTCTGACAGTCTGCACAGGGAATCACCTGACAGGATGCACACTCTCCTTTTCCTGCAGGGTCTTTAAGATACCGTGTGCTGACCACTTCCTGATGGACTGGTGGTCAAAGGTGTTTTTCTTTGCAAATTTCTGGACGAAGGTCAGGTGATTCAGAATGGTCGAACTACTTGGCGCATTCTGGGGCACTGAGGCCACTCCCATCCTTCGCAACACCAGGGACGGATAGAACCTCAGTAGAGTAATACTTGGTATTTGTGTACCAAGGGTCTACACGCAGCTTAATTCAGCCGCACACAATGGTGGCCATCGGGATGAGGGCAGCGTTGTGTACGTTCTCCCCCTCCCCCCCCCAACTTATCCAGATTTTTGTACATGGAAGTCTATCTTAGGGTTCCAGATGAAAGATGCCTTGGGTGACTGAAACAGCACAGTTTCAGGGAATGGGCCAGACCTATACTATGTACAACAACAGAGAGAGTGCCTCACACCTGATGACCAGGTTTTTACCTGTAATGGAGAGGGAGCAGTGCTCCCAAAAGACCAGCTTCTGCTTTGCTTTGGCAATGCCCTCCTAACAAGATTTTGTGCACGCCCCGGACCCTGCAAACTATATTTCCGGCACCTTCAGGTAATCTGTCCTGATGGTGAAGGGAATGAAGGATCAGTTGGCCCAGTTCTTGAAGAACATAGCTTTGCTCTTGCCTCAAATCACCTTGGCTCCTGAGGCCAGTTTGAACTGGTTGCAGATGCTCATGAGTCTGCGCACTGACTGCGGATCTAAGCAGGAAACGGTGACATCATCCGTGTAAAGGGAGGCTTTGACCTGCTGGCCTCCGCTGCCTGGAATAGTCATCCCTCGGAGTCGCTTCACCTTCCCCTCAGGTTCATGCCAGAGGAGGGGTTTGGCCCTCCTGTCACTTTATCTTCATTGTTTGGTGCACATGGTGTGTTACAATTATTATTGTTTTCCCCAAACCTGTGCCTTTAGTCTGGAAATCACTTCAATGTTATGACTGCTTCTCGGGTCAATATTCTGGATATGCTGCAATGGGTCTGACTTTATAATAATGCCTGCTCCTCCCTCTCTTTACTGTTTTCATTGGGTCAATTTAAGTGTCAGTTGATGGGTTCATCTGCTGTCCTTACCTGGTCTGGTCTACTTGTGACTCCAGACAGTCAGCAATGTGGTTGACACTTAACTGCCCTCTGCATAATAAATGCTGACTTGGCCAATGACACCCACATCCTGCGAATGAATTTTTAAAAAAGTGTCTTTTCAAGTCAGGAGAAAACAGTTCCCTATTAGATTTTCATATTTTATGCTTGTAAAAAAGCCACAAAGCCTGACTTTAGGCAAAAAATGCTTCAATATTCTTAGACCTGATCTTGCATATATGCACACCTTTAGGTAACTTTTTAACGGAGTGAAAAGTTTTGATTCTGACCGTAAAGATTTTGTAAATCTCTTTTGGTGTTTAAAACTAATAACAGTAAAATATGTTATAATGAAAGAATATGAAAGGTTAGTGAAAACAAATACATTAGTTGTGTAAGATATCCTTTGTAGTGACCGTTATAGTCAACCATTTGAAAGTGACAAATGTAGACAATTTTATGTATTCCTCAGCCATTCTTTTCATTTTTGGCATGCTATATTTGGTCAATAAAATATGTTGAAGACTTTTGCTATTGTGCCTTTAAGAGAGATTTTTTCTGTGCCATTTTTCTTGAGAGGTGTTGCCAATGTGATGCCGGAATGTTTGCTTCAGAAGTAGTGGGTAATCAGCTTTGAGCTCCCTGAGTATTTTTTTAAATGAGACAAAAGAAACTTGAGTCAGTGGATTCAGGCTCCCACAGACCCAGAGTTTTAGTTTTGCTTTCAGTTGGAGTTTGGGACTGGCTGTTGAAGCTGATAGATACAGCTCTGTCTCTCTCTGTTTATTTCAGTGCTCCTTTCTCTGGGACTGGAAGAGAGATAAGGGAGAAAGCACGTGAAGAAAGTCTGTTTGCCGAGTTTGCCTTTGCCAAGGGTGTGTTTATGGAATGCAGCTATATTGGAACAGGTTTGATGATTAATAGTAAAATAATATTTTATTAAGTATTTCAATAGAGTTAGTTATGCTAATTCATTTTTGTTTGTGCTTTAACTGCATTGTAAGAGTAAAATGTGTTTTGCTTAAAGTGAACCAATCAGATCACATCTGGAACACAGCGCCTTACACTTGTGTTTATATGAAATAAAAAGTTAGGGTCTAGGCTATCTCCTTGTTATATTTTGAAGGGGTCTGGTCTGTCCCATTACACTATCTTCATGTTTTCTTCCTTTCGTTTGAGAAATTTGGTAATCTTTGGGTGTTTCCCAGGAATTGTGTGTGTGTATATCCCACCTAAAATCAATCTCTGTCTCCCTCTCAGGAACAGTCTGGATCCTCTTTGCTCCTCCTAGGGCCAGTCTGGATCTCCCCCGCCACCCCAAGATCAGATTGTATCCTCAATCCACACACTGCACCTTCCCCATACCACCCTTCCAGGACCAGGCTGTATCTCCCTGCTGGGAGCAAGGTGTAACTCTCCCAGGAGCAGGCTGTACCTCCCTGACAGGACCAGGGGGTACCTCTCTCTCCCCGGACCAGGCTGCCCCTCCCTCCAGGGAGCAGGCTCGCAGCTGGATGTGAGTGCGCTGTGCCTCCGGGTCGGCAGGGGGCGGTGGTTGTGGCGGGCGGACTGTGTGAAGATGGATGCGGTGAGGAGGCCGGTAGTGTCGGTGTCGGTGTGTGAGGGTGTTGATGAGGAGCGGTTTCTTCGGGAGATTTACCCGCTGGTAGGATGGGGCCTTCCGTCTGGGGTGGGGGCGAACAAACCATCCCCTCAGGCCCCACAGATAAACTGTTCACTTTAATACATTGTACATTCATCACTCTCCCGAGCCTTTCAAAACTCCCCCTCTTTATATAAAAATAATTTTGATTCCTTTCACTGAGGGAACGAGGATAAATTTGCTGAAAGGAAATTGAAATTAATTTAATTTTAAAAGAATTGATTGCGTTTTCCGACAACAATCAGTTTTGAACGGATTAAGATTGTAAACGTGCGTTTTAATTCAGACTTTTCTGCTGAACATTGTTGAAAATGGCAAAAAATACTTTGTTTTTTTTACTAAACGAAAATAACTGTGACATTGGGTACAATTTGTATGGAGGATCTGATTGAGTTATTAGCCTGAACTAATATGGTCAGAGATATTTTATCTATGAAAAGAACAGGTGGTTTTCCTTTATATTAACCCTTGTGTGGGTTATCTGGTCTTTTTCCTTAATTCTACCCACGGTTTCCAGAGATTTTTTTCATTTGTTAAAAGTGTCTCCAAACTGTTTTCAATAACACTTCACTGACAAGTTCATCTTCCACCTTTTAATGTTCAGACATTGCTGTCTTTGTGTCTGATCTGGAACCTCGGTAGGTCACCAATAAAGTTTACATTGATATTCTTAAAAGTTACATACATCATGATACAGATACTAACCGAAATTGTGATTTTTTTTATTATTTAAACGTTGGCACTGGGTGCTTGTTTGCTGTACATACTGCTGTCTTCATTACAGTTATGTGTCTCATATGAACTTGAATGTGTGTCTGTGTCCACCCATGTGTAATCAACGCAAGAACCCACAACTGGCTCCTGAAACTCTTGTTTAACATGTCGTTAGCAAAAGTATCAACAACTTATCAATGACTGTGCAAGGCACAACTGATCTCCTGAGGAGGCCTGGCATATGATGGCAACAGTGGTAATTGTGTGTAGTTGGGTGTGTGTTGCCCCTTTTAAGAGGGCAGTCTAAGACTGACTGTGGAGATGAGAGGAGGCATTCCTTTTTCTAGTTTACCCCCTATCTACTTATTCAATTTAGTGGTTCTAGTGAACCACAAACATAATTACTGGCAATTAAAGTGGGATCTGACCCATAAACTCTGCAAAAGCCTTTCTTTAAGTTAGGACGAAGGACATCACCCAGACTTTAAAAACTGCATGGAATTGTTCAGATGACGTTGAGGGACACGGGCTACGGATGACACCAGGAAGGAATAGTGCATACTGGGAAGGTGGCTGGGACTGCAGCCGATGGCTGAAGAGGGGAGTACTCACCCAGAAACTTACCGAAGTCATCACAGACCGTGGTTGAGAGGGGACTCAGACTGTGGCCAATGC